AGAGTGTTGGTAATATTGAGTCTTTTGTGACTGTCTGGGATAGTTGCAGCCTTTTACCCTCCCAGAGCTCAGGTGTTGTGTTGCTAGTTGTCTCTTGCCAATGAAAAGCTCTTTTTGAACCCTCGCCTAGAGAGAGATGGAAATTACATCCTATTACTAACTCTTCCTTCCGATTCACAATAATGTCTAGTTAATTTTAGTTCTGACTTCGCTGTTTTATTAACTCTCAGTCATATATACAAACAAGGGGCACATTTTCTCAGTGTCCCTAACATATAATCCAGAAATCTTCCAGGCTTTGGAGCATGTTAGGTGATGCATTTTGACATTGCATTGCCTTTTAGTTTATGCTGATATTAAGATGGTGTGCCCCAGATACCTTCTTGTTACCAAGATGGAGAGGGAGGAACCCAGCAGCCTGCCAGGCAGAGCAGGCTGCCATGATGTGTCCTCTCTGGGTACTCTGCTGGCAAGGTGATCTCTTAGGGGAGAGTTGAGAAATGACTACATTTGTGTTCCCTGGGCACCATTCATGGCCACCCAGACAAGGCTATTTGGCCAGAGGGTTTGTTAATGAATGCCTGCTCGTTGGCATCATTATTTGCTTTGTTCCAGTAAGTTGTTTTCATTCCGGTTGAAGAGAGGCATTTTGGGGGGAGTTTGTAGTCAGCAGGTCTTAAGAACCCTTAGTTTTCTATCAGCTTGACAAATGAAAGCAAGCCCTTTCAGTGAAGTGGATAGACTGGAAAACTTCCCAGTGCGATTGTCTTAGCAAGTGTGAATTAAGCTGGGATGAGGACTGCTGTCAGAAAGCAGCTTTTCAAGAAGAGGGCATGAGGTCCTGCTTAAGAGAAAGGTGCCCTTTCTCTTATGTCGGCAAGACAGTCAGTCCCCTGTCTTACACTGTTCATTTATTTACCCAACCGCTTTGCCCACAAAGTCATTATGAAGACAAACCTAGCATGTGCCAGTTGCTTTCCCTGGACCAGGTTAATAAGTGCATCCCGTGTCGAAGGTGAACGGGGAAAATGTGCTTTAGAGTTCTGCAACTGCTAATTATCTCAGGGTTTCCAACTATAGAATTCTTTTGCTTGAGAGATCACCAAGGTGATGATGGGTGTTTTGATCTGCAATGTCTTTGTGGTTTGATTTTTTTATTTGATCTTGGGGAAAGTTCATGTATTTTATACTTTAGTATCCAATTCTGAAATTCTGTATTTATGTTCTCTGTGGAAGTAGACAGTGTTAGAAATATTACAGTTTATTTGTGAGCCAGCAAAAAGTTCGTTTTCTTAGGGAGAGATAAAACCAGCAGATTCTTAGGAGTGAATGGCACTTGGTCACGATGCCCTCCTGCAGAGAGGAGGTTCCCAGTTCTTCCTGAGCGTTATCAGTGGGTTACCCCGCAGGAAGGATTGTCAGCCGGGGCAAGTCAGAAACTCTAGAGGTGGGATTTCTCAAGCTGGGAAAGGCCGCTGGGGTGTTTCTTATGGAATGTTCTTAGTTTTAGGTCCCATCAGGGTGTTAGGCCATATTTGTAGGCATCACTCAAACCCCAAAGCATGTACAAGAGAGGAAGAAGGCAGGGGAAGGATGCTGAAGATTATGGAGACTGGCACTAATTGCCCCTCTGAAGAGGTCCTGGTCACGTGCTCTGTTTCCAGGAAACCTAGTCTCCATTGTGGGCACATTGGGACTGAGATTTTTATTGTTTTTTAAACATAACATTTATTGGAGTTGGTTTTGTTGTTTCAGAAATATTCTGATTATAAGAACATTACACATTATTGTGGAGAATTTGGAAAATCTAGGTTTAAAAAAGTGTGGAATCACCTATAATCTCACTGCCTTGATATAAATAAATACTAATTTTAGTATATTTCTTTCCTGTCTTTTTTTATGTGAAAAATATGTGCACATGCATATATGCACGTGCATGTGTGCACTCATGCACACACACCCTCACACACACAGGCATTTTTTTAAAACATACCAAAATTGGTATCACACTATACACATTGGGATTTTTTCCTTTTATCATAAATGTTTTATGTGCTCATTGAAAAAAATTTTAAATATGTTAACATTTTGATATATTTATATGTCATTGATATATTTTTAAGTTAACATATATATATAATTCTGTTCCGTCTTCCCTCTTCCCAACTTTTTTTTGGTACGATTTCCTTTCAGAAGAAATTATAAGACTGACAGTGAGCATTGGGAAGTCCTTTCACTTGGCTTCACCAGCTGTTGGCGTTTTGCCACATTTGCACACACACACACGTCCTGTCTCCCGTCTTTCTTCTCATATCTCTTATTTTTTCTTCCTGAGCCATTTGCATGTAAATTTCAGGAGGCTCGATGACACTTAACCCCTGAATCTTTCAGCATCGAAACCCTAATAATCTGAGACTGGCCCCCAAAGAAAAAGACAGAGTGGTAGGTGGCAGGTTTAATAAGCAAGGGAACTTAACTTGTAGGCTTGTTTGGGCGGCCACAAGATTAGTTTTCCACATCCACCCGCCAGAATCTTAAAAGTTTATGTACAGAGGCTCTAACGGAGATCAGTCACGTGCCCAGTCCAGATAGTCTCAACACCATTCTGTCTCAAGGCTGGATCCTTGGAGCAGCACTGGGAGCTGGGAAGGCAAACGGAGTGCACATTCGAAAGCACAGGTGAGGGGCGAGGAGCCTCTATCTGATGGCCCAGGGTCAGCTGGAGGGTCAAACTGGTGGTCAGGTCTTCTCGATTGCCTTCCCCAACAGTATGTAGCTTCTAAAAACAAGAATATTCTTTTATCTAACCATAGCACCATTATTGTACTACTTGACATTACTACAATAATATTTTCTAATATATAGTTGTATTCAGATTTCCTAGTTGTCCCCAAAATAACCATTATAGCTACCCCCCTGCCCCCCAACCCATGATCTAATTAAGGAACATGCATTGCATTGGTTAACATGTTTCTTTAGTCTGTCTCAGTTCTCAAACTAGGGCAGTTTTGCTTCTCAAGGGGCATTTGGCAATATCTGGAGACATTTTTGCTGTCGCAGCTGGAAGGTTATTCCAGTGGTCTGGTGGTTCTGTTGGGTCGAGGCCTGGATGCAGCTGAACATTCTACAGTGTACAGGACAGCTGCCACAACAAAGTATTATCTAACTCAAAATGTTAGTACTCCTGAGGTGAAGAAACCATGATCTAAAATAATTTTCTTGCTTTTTCCTTTTTCATGACATTGACATTTTTTGAAGAATCCAATCCAGTTTCCTGTAGAATGTCCCACATGTTTTCTAATTTAAATCAGTGGTTCCCAAATTTGCTGTGCATTAGAATTCCCTTGGAACTTTTAAAAATTTGAATGCACAGGTCATACCCCAATAACAATTAAATCAGAATGCCTGGGGATGCGGACCAAGCATAGGTATTTAAAAAACAAAAAGGTGATTGAACATGCAGCCAAAGTTCAGAGACCACTGATTTAGATGAAATATTTTTTGATAAGAATTCTACGTAGAGGATATCGTATACTTCCCACTGCATGAGGTGTTTATCCCATTTTGGTGATGCTAAATGTAATCACTTGGTCCAGGTGGGTTTGCTCCCCCTCCATCTCTCCATTATAAAAATATCTTTTCTACTGTTAGTGATAAGTAATCTTTGGGGTTGTATATTGAATCCTTCTAATGGTTACATAGCATTATGTTATATGGATGTGTAAGTATCCCACTTTCCTGTTACTAGGCATACAGATTTTTTTCCTGTTTTCTATTATATGCAATAATGCCAAGAACATCTATACGCATAGTCGGTGGTTGCTAGTTATTTCTTTAGAATAAATATGGAAAGGAAAACTTGTTAGCTCAAAGGCCGTATACAGTTAAAAATTTGCTGTACATTGCCACTTATTGCTTCCTTTCATCTAATTCTTATCTACCTCCTGACACCAAATACACACACACACACACACACACGCACACACGCGCGCGTGCACACACACACACGCACACATTTGTACTTCAGTGGTCTGTTTCTTCAAAACCCCGCTCATTGCCAGTGACTTGATAGTCTGATACCTTATTTGTTTTAATGTCGTGTGTGTGTGTGTGTGTGTGTGTGTGTGTGTGTGTGTGTGTGTAATTATCAGTGAATGTAGAGGCTGATGTCCAGGCACACCTCATCCGTCAGGCCACTGGTGTGGGGGTTTGGGAATCTAGTCGGGATTTGGTTGTTACTATAATTACCTTCCATACATCAAAGACTTCAAGCACCTCTAGCGGACGTGGCTTAGTGTGGGGCCCGGGGTGCTAGAGAGACTTTTCTCAGTGCTAGAGAGACTTTTCTCAGTATTGTGATCTCCTCTCAGCTTTCACCAAGGCCTATTGTACCCCAGTGCTAGAGGGGAGTCTCTCACTACACTCCGGCCCCTCCCCCAAAGCTTGAGGTGGGGTGGGGGTTCTCCTGGTGCAACTCCGTTTTAGGTAGGCCCCGTTCATTCTGGACTTAAGAGGTGGGACTTTCTCAGGGTTCCTGCAACACCCTCCATGGCAGCCAGTCTCTATCTCGTATCTGTGAGGGGCCTTGGTGAGGAAGAGTTCCTGCTTTTCCCCTGGTGGTGGCAGACCTCTGCTTACATCAGCGCAGGGTCTTGGGCTGGATGGGTTTTGCGTTCTTTACCCAGGGACAGACTGCTGTGGCCTTTTACTGGGTGTAAGTTGTGGTCGGGAGGGAGAGAATGGGGGCTTTACTGCCCCTCCCTTAGAAGCAGGCGACTTCCGCTTCATCTGCTCTCCCCACACCCCAGCAGTTGACCTCTGCCCCTCTCTCATCTGCTTCAGGCTTTTGCCTCCCAGATCTGGGTCTGGGAAGTAAGTGAGGCTCACGTCTGGACCACAAGCAGGGTCTCTCAGGTCTCCCGCCGTGCCTCCAGCCTTTCTCCAGGGCTCCCAGCGGAGGCCTGTGGAAAAGAGCTCGTGAGTGACTGTGAACTGAAGGAGTGTCCAGGAATCTCAGGATTCTGAACTGTCACACAGGCCCATACTTGCCCTTTAGAATTTTAAAAGTATAGCTGTTTTCTTCCTACCCACTTTCTTGGCAGCTGTCCTCTTCCGCTTGTGATCTACCAAAGGTGAAGCAGTTCTCATGTCCTCTCTTAGGAGGGGTTTGTCATTCTGGAATTCAGTCATTGGTGGCCCAAAGCTGGCTCATGCAGGTTCTTGAGATCTGATTGGATGTCTCTTCCCAGCTCCCAGTTCAGCAACGTGATATTGGTAGTTTGAAACTGGCTGTGGTGGGAGTATTTACACTGTAGAAATTGGCAAATGCTTTAAATTAGCACCCACCCTTCTCCACTGAGAACCAGTTACTAAACGTACACCAGCAACCCATTGAATCATTTTGCCTGGTTGCTTTGTGACATCAGTTGTCTAGGCATAAGGAAGGGAATACTTTGTAGATTTTCTGGCTTTTTCTGATTAGCATGGGAGCAATGTTCTCGAGTTTTCTACATACTAAGCGGAAGTAGAACTCAATGTTTGTTTTTGTTTATTTTGATTAGTGAGATAGAACAGCTTATTCAAGATCATTATCCATTAGAATTCCTTCTTTATAGAAAGGTGATGTTGAAAGGTGAGCCAAGGAATGGATTGCAGTTACAATTTGGAAGATGAGGGTCTCCAGAGAGGTCAAGATGATCTCATGAGATAAAAAGGCAAGGAAACCTTATCCTCTGTGAATAAAATAAAATTCCCAAGGGAGACTAACATCAGCAACGTATGAGAGATCTAACAGGAAAAATCAGAACCTCTTCAACATACAAAATCTTTTGTTGTGGGACCCCCGAGGGAACAATTGACCTCAACCCAAAACATACGGTGCGTCCCTAGGGCCTACACCCGCCACCACCACTGTGCAGCACTGTGCAGCAGGGAAAGAAGCACGTAAGCTGTTGAAACTAATTGCTTTCCCATGATGCCTACTGGGTCCTCAGGCAGGATTTTGTAAATGGATGAACTTGGGACATCTGCCATAGAGTTAACATGTCTACAGAGTGACAAGAAAAGACTAATGGGAATGCATTTACAGTTTTTGCAGTTTATTTTATGCGCTGGCTCTGACCTCATCTCCATTACAGAACATTCTGTTTTGCCCAATTATAGTAAGGATAATGTTAAATCGTGCCTGCTTTTTAAGTTTTCTGTGACAGACTTCTAATCCTAAGTCTGCTATTCTCCACTCTACCTCAGTCTACCCAGAGTAGGCTCAAGAAATACAAATTTATTTTATTACCTTAAGCCAAACACTAGGAATTCAAATATGCTGTCACAAAAATAAGCCCTCACACTAGAATAACTTTTGGTCTGTTGTTTGTGCCGTTATCTTCTTCCTTGAGCATGAGGCAACGAGAGTGAATATTTCTCTGTAAATCTTGGGTAGTTTTTCCACACATTTTCTCAAGTAGACAT